CACTTCACTTCACTTCACTTCACTTCACTTCACTTCACTTCACTTCACTAGTTAATGCCTAATCATTCCAATTAATAGTACTTCACTTTTCTTCTCTTCGATTAACATCACCGCACATCACTTCATAACTTGACTGTACTTCACTTCACTTCACTTCACTTCACTTCACTTCACTTCACTTCACTTCACTTCACTTCACTTCACTTCACTTCACTTCACTTCACTTCACTTCACTTCACTTCACTTCACTTCACTTCACTTCACTTCACTTCACTTCACTTCACTTCACTTCACTTCACTTCACTTCACTTCACTTCACTTCACTTCACTTCACTTCACTTCACTTCACTTCACTTCACTTCACTTCTTTATTATCTTACTTCACTCCACTACACCTCACCTTTCAGTACTTGACTTCATTTTACGTCACTACAACAACTTTAAATATTTTTTCTTTATTTCAGATGTTGTCGCATCTGCGCAAAGACACTTGGCGAAACTTGTGGTGGTCCTGGCGGCTTCTCAGGTCAATGTGAGCCACCGTTACAGTGTGTCACAAAATTGCCCATAACTAGTGGATTGGGTGTTTGCATGGGTAAGTACAAAATAAAAATTTTGCGTACTACTCGTAATATAAGTTATGGGCCGTTTTCTCAAGTAGGTTTCAAAATTTACATATCTGCCCTTCAAATACCAGATTTGTTCTGAAAATGTTTTATTGAATCGTGCTTAGAAAAACGACCTTAGTGAATCAGACCTGCATTTTTATTTCAAAACTGTGAGAATGAGCTAATTTGTTGAAAAGTAATTTTTACGTTTTTAGCAGTAGATCCTTAAAGAAAAATAAACAATTTTTTGGATTTCATTCTTCAAAGATAAAAATAATAGAAGGAAATTCAGAAATCTATCATGCGTGAAAGTTTATACCTTGGTTTCAGGCTCTTTCGGGTTTCAGGTCACAGCGACTAGGTAAGAAAAAGTAGCCTTGAAACGTTATCGGTGGATGGGGTGAAGCGCTTGACCGCTTAGGTCAAATGTTCTCCGTTCAAAATTCACGTGGTATGACAAAAGACAATCTCCTTAGTGCCCAAGTGCGTCCACCCACCTGCTACAACCAATTTAATACACGGGTTGAACGTATACACATACCAAAAAAATTGTGTAGCTACGTGTATTTATATCTTAATTCAGCGTAAATGTAAATTTATCCTCATCAACTGCTTTATATTCACATTTCTGTTCATCTAATTAATACCATTGTATGTGTAATAAGTTATAATTAAAATATGTTTCATAATATAAGACTTGTGCTCGTTGTGGAAAATTATGGGAAAATAACTGAGCGTCATAACGTTGTCATATTTCATTACTTATTATAGATTTCTCTACACAAAAATTCGCCATCTCGCTTGTGACTTTTTGCTCATTATTCGCTTGATTATATATTTGCACCTGTTAACATAATAATTTTCATTATACCCGAGCGCACTTGTGCACAAGGGTATATTAATTTTG